GTCGCCCTGAGGGGCTTCCTGGTCACCAGGATATCCCCTCTTGCTGAGGCATCGAGCGGGAAGTATAGGGGGCATTTGCGAGAACCTTCTTGTGTAATGTTGTCTCAGGCAGTGCTCCCCTCACCTTAGAGGGTTTTATTTGAGCTTGCCTTTTACGCGTTATTAGCCTCGTTCCCTTTCTCTGAGTTGGTTTAGACCCCTGGTACCTTGGGTTCCACTCAACTAAGTGTGTCTCTGTCGACACACACTGGAAGCATCGCTCCCCTCACGATTGAGGGTTATTGTGAGCATGGTGCTTTCTTTCAAGCGTTTAATTTTTCTCCAGAGTACCTGGAACCAGCAGCATCAGGCGAACTAGGCCCTTCCTCTGCCTCTCTGATGCGCTGAGTTTTTTGGCTAGCTTGCAGTACCCTTCTGATTCTAATAATCGCGCTGTAGGTCGAGCCCCCCCTCTCGCTGAGAGTTGGGGTTGTGCTCCCTCATCTAAGGTAAATTATTGCTAGCGGAACATGCTGCAGGTCGAGCCTCCTCTCGTTTGAGAACTGGGGGTGTTGCTCCCTCAGCTAAATAACTGCTAGCTGTTCCACCATTGGAAGAGGCTGTAGGTCGAGCTCCCTCTCGATTGAGAGCAGGAAGTTTGCTCCCTCAGCTACAGATTTACTGCTAGCCACTCCAGCATTATAGCCTTAGATCGAGTTGATGACTTCTCAAATATAGCGTTTTGGGATGCACCATTTCCATCTATGGGCTGCTCTTTCAGAGTGCCACGAGAACCCCTTAGAACGGTATTTTCAAAATCCATGTTATGGTAAGTGTGCACGTGAAGTCTTTGTGTACAAGTCTTTGTACATTTTCTAAAATCCACACTGTGGTAAGTTCGCATGCTAGTACTCTCCGTTCTTTTCTAAAATCCTGTATGGTAAGAGCTACGTGCAGCAGCCTCGTGCTCTTTCTGAGTGGTTTAAAACCCCGGTTCCGCCTTGGGCACCACTCCTCCTATGTATCCTCTGGATACCTACTTTAACAGGGTGTTGCTACTAGGGGTCTGTTGAGACAGTTCCTTCAGCACATACAAAGAGAAACGTGCGGTAGCCCCTGTGTGACAGGCCAAGACTAGTATGATTCTAGGCTCTTGGTCGTGTTCCCTTAAAGGAATCTATTCCTGATTCCAAGCCTTGAGCTCTACCCCGGGCCCAGGAGTTCTGGCCCTAACAGGTAAGTTTTTTGGGGTATGTAGCCTAGGCCTTTGGCCATAGGGAATAATGTCACTGACAGCTGTCTAACGTCCCAGGGGCAAATCCCATGGCAATATGGTAGAGTTGGTACTTAGTGCTCGCTATGGTTTCTGGCATGCACTCCCCTCAGCATGGTGGCGTGGGTATACCGTTCCCCATAGCGACCCCTAGAGGACGCAGTTCGAAGTTCCCATGAAAGGGAACGTCTCAGGTTACTTATGTAACCATGGTTCCCTGAGTAGGGAACGAGACACTGCGTCCTCTAGGGATCGCTATGGGGAAC